GGAAGGGATTGCGGCGTGGCCATCCCCCCTGGGGGGTGATTTCTCACTTTCTCTCTCTCCGTCTCTGTCTCTCTCCGGCGAGCCCACAGGCCCTATAAGCTTAAGCACAGACAAGCGTCGTCTGCCCTCGTCCTTACCCATGTCCTTCATGGACAGCACGGAGTCGAAGAACCGGATCGCGGGCCCCCGGCTGCTCCCGTTCACCAGGAAGTAGTTCCAGAAGGGGATGGCGGACAGGTCATCCAGGTGACAGCCCACGTGTGTGCCCGAGGCACGCATGTAATGGGGACATTCCCTTTCCTTCCTGCCCCTGCGCAATCCGGAACAAAAACAAAGAAAAATGAATGAAGCTAAGAAAACGCCGCATGTTTATCTCCGCTGTTGATCATGGTCACCTGAAGAGCTAGAGAGCAGGGCCGGCAGGGGGCGTGGTGGTTAAGGCGCTGCACTCCCACATGGCCGACCACGGTTCGAGTCCCAGGCCTGGCCGCTTGCTTTCTCGTTATATCTCTCTTTCTCTCTCTCTGTCCCTCTCTGGTCAAATTTAAATGAATACATAAAATAATTCTTTTTTTTTTATGTAATTTTTCTTTTTTTTTTGGAGAGGTTTTCACTATAGGGCGCGTGCACTCACCAGAAAGACAGAGAGAGACAGAGAGACAGAAAGCGAGAGATCACCCCCCAGAGGGGATGGCCACGCCACAATCCCTTCTCCTCCATTCTCCTCTCGGGATCTTGGGCACGCACGCACACGCACCTGGCGTGAGTTTTAAGCCACCAGGTCCAGGACACGAACCGCGGTCGACTACGTGGGAGTCCAGTGACATAGCCATGACGCTAACTGCTGGTTCCCAAGTCAAATAATTCTTAAAATCAAAACAAAAACCCTCCAGGTTCATGTGTGAAGGCGCCCAAAATCCCGAGAGGAGAATGGAGGAGAAAAGATTGGGGCGTGGCCATCCCCCCTGGGGGCGGCTTTTTACTTTCTGTCTTCCTGGTGAATGCACATCTCTACAACAAACTGGAAAAATAACGGTGAATAGGGACCAGCTGATGCCATAATGGCTATGTCACTGGACTCCTATATGGTCTACCGTGGTTCGAGTCCCAGACCCGGTGGTTTAAACTCACGCCGGGCGCGTGTGCATGCGTGCCCAAGATCCCGAGAGGAGAATGGAGGAGAAGGGATTGCGGCGTAGCCATTCCCCCTGGGGGGTGATTTCTCGCTTTCTGTCTCTCTGTCTCTCTCTGTCTCTCTGGCAAGTGCACATGCCCTATAGCAAACACCTCTCTAAACAAGACAAAGAAACAATAAAATAAACACAGAGCGCGACACCCACTTCGTGTCCCGGATGTACAGGAAGTACTGGATGTCGGCGGGGGCCGCGGGGCCCTTCTCCCAGGTGCAGTTCATGAAGTCGGCCTCGTAGATGACGCAGGAGAAGTTCTCGGCGCCCGTGCCCTCCGCTCCTGGGGACAGGCAGAGACAAAATCACCCTCCCTGGACGCCACTTACAAAGGCCGGGGACGGGAGAATCTCGGGCCAGCCAGGTCGTATAGCGGTTAAGGCGTGGGTCCCACGTGGCCGACTGGGCGGTCCGAGTCTCAGACCCAGAGACTTGTAAACTCACGCCGGGCGCGTGAGCGTGCGTGCCCTAAATCCTGGAGGAGAAGGGATGGCAGCGTGGCCATCCCCCCGGGGGCGTGCGGAGAAGATTGCTCACTTTCCCTCTCTCTCTGGCAACAGTGTGTGCTCTATACCGATTTTTTTTTTCTTCATTTTTAAAATTTAATTTAGGAGCCAGCAGGTGGTGTGGTGGTTGGGGCAGTGGACACTCCCACATGGCCAACCATAGTTCAAGTCCTGGACTCGGCAGCTTGCTTTCTCACTTTCCCTCCCTCCCTCTCTCTCTCTCTCTCTCTCTGTCTGGCCAAATTAAAATAAATGAATGCAGTCAAGTAAATAATTCTTGGACATTTTTTAATGTAATGACTTCTCCTTTACACTCGATCAGCGCGTGTCAGTACAGCCCACCGAATGGTTCTTTCCTACCCTGGGTACACTGCGTGTTGGCTCAAAGAGCATGACTGCAGGCGTCCTCCACACACGTAAGGCCCCACTTCCGTGTCCCTTCCGTGTCTTGCTGCTGCTTCTCCCCCTGCTTCCTTCCTCTCGCCTTTCCCCATTTCCCGCCCTCCTCCTGGACTGGCTCTGGGATCCGGCTTTTCCTCCACACCTTCCTACTTGGCGGTATCTCCGTTCCCACCACGGAGCGCGGACGTGGGTAGTCCTGAGTGGGGACATACCGTGCCTCTCGCTCATAGACTGGCCTGCTTCGCTCAGCACTAAATCTTCCATCGACCAGCTTGTTTAGTCATTATTGTTATTTTATTATTATTGTTTAAACAAGTGTTCTTGTTTAGGATGCGTGTGCTCACCGGGGAGAGAGACACAGAGACAGAGACAGTGACAGGGAAAGTGAGAAGTCACTCCCCAGGGGAAAGTCCAAGCTGCAATCCCTTCTCCTCCATCCTCCTCTCCTCTCTTGGGCACGCACGCACATGTGCCCGGTGTGAGTTTCAAGCCACCGGGTCTGGGACTTGAACCATGGTCGGCCATGTGGGAGTCCAGCGACATGACCGCTATGCCACCTGCTGGTCCCAATTTCCCGGAGTGTTTAAAAGCAGGTGGGGGATCTGTTTGGGCGGCGGGTGGAGGTGGCGGAGAGGGGCCGCCGGGCTGCACTACCCACCTGGATTCTCGTAGAGCAATCTTTCTTGGAACCACCTGTGACTGGTTTCAATCTGGACCTGGAACGTGGCGCCTCCGTGCAGAGGACGGGCCTGGAAGGTGCAGCTACACTCGTTCTTCCTGGGCTAAAGAGGTGCAACCAGAGGGACCAGCAGTTAGCGTCATGGCTATGTCGCTGGACTCCCACGTAGTCGACTGCAGTTCGCGTCCTGGACCCGGTGGCTTAAAACCCACGCCGGGCGCGTGTGTGTGCATGCCCAAGATCCCGAGAGGAGAATGGAGGAGAAGGGATTGCAGCATGGTCATCCCCCCTGAGGGGTGATTTCCCGTTAGGTCAGACACGCTCTGAGCCCTGGGACTCAGGTCCCCGGACAGACACGAGCCAGCCCTTCCCGTCTCAGTGACGCGACACGTGTGTGCTTGTGTTGTGTGGGGACGCGGCCCGGGGGCCGGGCAGGGGCAGGCCGTGTACCGTCTTTTCGATCGGTCCGTTCCGGTCGGGGACCATCAGGCACCTGGTGCTGGTGGAGTTTTCTTCGCAGTTCCAAGATAGTGTCATCGTCCTCGGGTTGAACCTCAGGTGTAGACGGGGCGTCGGTGCCACGGTGGACGGACCTGCGGGCGGTGACCACGGGGACTCAGAAACTGACTGTCCCCGTTTTCCCTCCCTTGACCAACCCTTCCCTGGGTGGCAAGACAGACGTCTCCGGGCCGAGAGTCTCCAGGGCACATGACGGCGGGGCCGATCCAATCCCGGGGGAAGTTGGGTAACGGGGTCTTCCTCTCCCTGACTGTTTGGAGACCACGTAGCTCAACTTGCAAAAATGACGCTTTCGGGACCAGCGAGTGCCGCAGTGAGTGGGTAAGGCTGGACTCCCACATGAACGACTGCGGTTCAAATCCCGAACCCGGTGGCTTGAACGTCACACCGGGCGCGTGTGCGTGCGTGCCTCAAATCCCGAGAGGAGGATGGAGGAGAAGGGACTGCAGCGTGGTCATCCCCCAGGGGGGTGAGCTCTCATTTTCTCTCTCTCTGGTGAGTGCATGCACTCTGTGGCAAAAATATCTTACAAATAAAAGAAAATAAAATGACAGGGGCCGGCAGGTGGCGTGATGGTTAAGGGCGCTGGATTCCCACGTGGCCAACCGCGGTTCAAGTCCTGGACCTGGCGGCTGGCTTTCTCACTTTCTGTCTGTCCTTCTCTGGTCAAATTAAAATAAGTAAATAAATCAAGTTAGATAAAGTGATTCTTTTTTAAAATGACGCTTGGTCTAAATGCCACCATGGAACAGTCCCCAATCTCCCAGAGCATCCGACCACACTCCTCAGGGTCTGCCACGCGCCCTCCGGACCTGAGCGAGCCCCCCCGCGTTATCCTCTGCAGCGTCACCACGGCTCGTTCTCCACCCACACAGGCTCTCCTGGGCCGACCGGGCGGACACGGTTCTTAACAAAGCGGGGAGACAGTAAGGCAGGCGGCTGGAACCGGCTGCATCCCGCGCCCCGGGGATGGAGTCCACGCCCACACTCACCTGGGAGCTCCGGGACCAGGAGGGTCACCACGTCCACGGACCCACACAGCAGGAGGGCCACCGCGAGGAGCCCCATGGGGAGAGCCGGAGGCACCGGGCACCTGAGGGACACACGGGAAACCCGTCCTCACATGGCGCTCCTGGAGGGGACCGGAGGGTGCTTCCCAGAGCGGGTCTGCGAACACCAACACGGGTGGGCACAGAGAGCCGGCACCGAGGGGTCGCCGGGCTGCAGAGGACTCGCAGGGACATGCTCAGTCTCCCACGCGGGGATCGGGACATGGGCGTCTCCAGGACATCACTGCGTCTCCCACACGGGGACCGGGACGTGGGCGTCTCCGGGACATCACTGCGTCTCCCACACGGGGACCGGGACGTGGGCATCTCCGGGACAGTATTCTATCATTATTTATGGTTTTAGAGAAGATTTTTGTTAGAGGGTGCGTGCTCGCACCGGAGAGATAGAAACAGAGACAGAAAGCGAGCAATCACCCCCCAGGATCGATGGCCGCGCCACAATCCCTTCTCTCCATTCTCCTCTCGGTATTTTGGGCATGCACGCACATGCGTGAGTTTCACACCACTAGGTCTGGGACTCAAATCGTGGTCAATTACGTGGGAGTCCAGTGACGTGAGCATCACGCCACCTGTGGGTCCCCTGTCCACCCAGTATGAAGTGGGGACATACCATGCTTCTCTTTCATAGTCTGGCCCGCTTCACTCAGGGTTAAATCACGCAGCCCTGGGGCCAGCAGGTGGCGTGGTGACTAGGGCTCTGGACTCCCATATGGCCAACCACAGCTCAAGTCCTGCACCTGGAACGGGGGATTTCTTTTCTTTTCTCCCTTCCTTTCTCTCTCTTTCTTTTGCTTCTTTCTTTCTTTCTCTTCTTTCTGTTTTTCTTCCTTCTTTCCTTCTTCCTTTTTTCTTTCTTTTTTTCTCTCTTCTCTTTTTATTTCTTTTTCTTTTTTCTCTCTTCTTTCGCTTCTCTCTTTCCTTCTTTTCTTCCTCTATTTTCTTTTTCTTTCGTTTTCTTTCTCTTTATTTCTCTCTTCCTTTCTTTATCTTTCTTTTAATTTCTTCCTTTTCTTTTCTTTCCTTTCTCTTTCTTCCCTTTCTTTGTTTCTCTTTCTTCTTTCTTTTTCTTTTTTCTTTCTTTCTTCCTTCCTTCCTTCTTTCCTTCCTTCCTTCCTTTCTCTTTCTTCTTTTTCTTTTCCTTCTTTCTCTTTCTTCCTTTTCTTTGTTTCTTTTTCTCTTTCTTTTCCGTTCTCTCTTTCGTTCTGTCTCTCTCTCTCTTTCATCTCTTTCTGGTCAAGTTTTTGCCATGGGCATATGCATTCTCTAGAGAGAGATGGGGGGTGAGAAATCACCCCCTAAGGGGGAGGGCCACGCCACAATCCCTCGTCCTCCATTCTCCTCTTGGGATCTTGGCCAAGCACACACTCGGCGTGAGCTTCATGCTGCCGGCTCCAGGACTCGAACCGCAGTTGACTACATGAGACTCCAGCAACGTAAGCATTCCTCCGTCTGCTGGTCCCACCGTATTATTATTTCTTAATTCACCAGATAGAAAGAGCTAGGGAAATTGAGAAAGCAAGCTGCCAAGTCCAGGACTCCAACCTGGGTTGTCAACATGGGAGTCCAGTGCCTTATCCACCATGTCACCCTCCGGCCTCTCCATTTTCCTTTTAGAAAAACAGTTTGCTAGAGAGAGTACCTGCTAGCCAGAGACGGAAAGACGGAGAGCGAGCCACCGCAGTGGGGCACGGCCCAGCCTCGAGGCCTCCTCCGTCAAGGCACCCCACTGGGATTTTCTACACTCACACGTACATGCACTGTGCTTTGCATGCTGCTGGACCGGGACTCCAACCGTGGTCAGCCATGTGGGACCCAGTAGGCCCTGACCACCAGGCCACGGAGCCGGCCTTCTTTAAAACCCTCCACCACCCCTCTATCCAGAGACCAGCCGCAGCTCCCCGCCAACCTCGGAGCCTACGCGACCTAGAAACCGGGCGTGGACACCTCACTTCTTCTTTCTGCAAAATCTACTTCCCGAAACGGAGGAGTTGCAACACGGTCCCCTCCCACGAAGCATGGCCCCGGCTCTCTGCCTGTCCTAGGACCGCCGAGCAGTCACCACACGTGAAGGTCCTGCCTTCCTGGTGAAGCTCATTCCGTGGCTGACAGGGAGCACCAATGTTAAATGCCTTTCTTTCTTTTTCTTTCTTCTTTTTTTTCAATAGAGATTTTTGTTATAGGGCATAAGTGCATGCCACAGAGACAGAGAGAGAGAGACATAGAGACAGAAAGCGAGAAATCACCCCCCAGGAAGATGGCCATGCCACAATCCCTTCTCCTCCATTCTCCTCTCGGGATCTTGGGCACGCACACACACACGCCCGGTGTGAGTTTTAAGCTGCCGGGTCCAGGACTTGAACCAAGGTTGACGGTGTGGGAGACCAACAATGTAATCATGCTACCATTTGCTGGTCCCGGTCCTTCGACTTTTCAAAGTTTAATTTTATTTATTATCTTTTTTTTTTTAAATTTCCTACAGTGCATGCCCACGAGAGAGAGAGAGAAAGAGGGAAAGTGAGAAAGCAAGCTGCCAGGTCCAGGACTCGAACCATGGTCAGCCATGTGGGAGTCCAGTGCCTTAATCACCACGCCACCTGCTGGCTCCCCCTTTTTTCCCTTAACTTGAGTTTTACAACAGTTAAAAAGGGTAAGTGAAAAAAAGAAAGAAAGAAAGAAGAAGAAGACAGGGCCAGACCTGTGGTACGGTGGTTATGGGCCGTGTTGGGAACTAGGTCCCACCCACATGCCTGACGGCATTTCTCTAAAAGAATGATTTCTTTACTTTTATTTATTCATTCATGTATTGTCATTGGACCAGAGAGACACACAGACACACACAGAGGGGGAGTGGGAAAGTAAGCCATCCGGACCAGGGCTGGGACTTGAACCATGGTTGGCCATGTGGGAGTGTCCAGTGCCTTAACCACCACGCCACCTGCTGGTCCCTGGTCATTCTAACTTAACTACGGTCCCAGTGGGGACACAGAAAACGAGCCAGGTGTGCGGGTGCCCCGAATCCTGATGCAATGCAGAAAAGCTGGAGAAGGGATGGTGGTGTGACCACACACGTTGGGAAGGTTCTCTCTGTCTCTCTGTCTCTGGAGCATGCATGTGCGCAACATCAATAGCAAAAACATAAGTGGGGGGGGGAGAAAAGGTAAGTCCCTTTCTTGGAAAAATATGGAAAGAGCTTTAAACGCACATTAGTAGGTGAACAGAGGTGGTCTGAAAACACGGCATGATCTATCAATAGGATTCTAGCTATTTAGAATTCTGGCAAAGCCAAATACATCTTTGGAGACCCTAAAAATAACCGTGATTGTCTCCGGGTACGATAGAAGGGAGAACGAATAGCTGGAATCCAGCGGAAGTTTTCCAAAGTTTTGCCGGAGGACACGTGTGTTCTCTAGGGAGAGACAGAGAGAGACACACAGAGAGGGAGAGTGAGAAATCACCTCCAGGGGGGGATGGCCACGCCGCAATCCCTTCTCCATTCTCCTATTGAGATTTTGGGCATGCACGCACACGCGCCCTGCGTGATTTTCAAGCTGCCGGGTCCAGGACTTGAACTGCCCAGTTGGCCGTATGGAAACCAGCCCCTTAACGTCCCTGCCGCCTTCTAACCCAGAGACCAGGGTCAGTTATGTTTTTTTTTTTTAAGAATGATTTATTAACTTTGTTATTCTTTCAAATTTGTTTGTTTTTTTTTAAGAATTATTTATTAACTTTGTTATTCTTTCAAATTTGTTACAGGGCATCTGTGCTCACCAAGAGAGACACAGAGAGAGACAGAGAGCAAGCTGCCCATTCTGGGACTTGAACCCCCGTCGGCCACCTGGGAGCTAGCACTTTAAATTCCACACCATGTGCTGGTCCAGAGTCCAGGGGAGCCTTAGGGCAGTGAAACGATACAGCCACGGTATGTTAGTATAAACCCACAGAACGCGCAGTGCTAAGAAGAAACCGTCATGTTTCCGGCAGGTGGGGCGGTGGTGAAGGGCGCCGGACTCCCACATGGCCAACTGCGGTTCGAGTCCTGGACCTGACAGCTTGCTTTCTCGCTTTCCCTCTCTCTCCCTCTCTCCCTCTGCCCTCTCTGGTCACATTAAAATACTTGAATAAGATAAGTACCGTTAGATCAAATCATTCTTTAATACAATAAAGAAGCCATCATGGAACCTGTGCCAATGGGTTGGCTCACGGTAACATTTCAGTTTCGGCTCGCCAGTTGTGACAAACGTGCACCCCACCCACGAGATTAATAATGGGGAACTACACGGGAGGAATCTCTGCACGCCCCTCTAGGTTTCTTTTCATTTATTTTCCAGGGGCGTGTGCATTCAGCAAAGAGAGAGAGAGAGAACCCCATGGGGGAATGGCCACGCTGCAACCTGTTCTCCTCCACTGCTGTCTCCTCGGGGTTTGGGCACGCACGCACACACACCTGCCATGCTTTGGAAACCTCCAGGGCCAGGACTCGAACCATGAAACTGGTCATGTGGGACCCAGCTGCCTTAACCAGCACGCCACCGCTGGCCTCTGCTGTGTGGCCTTGGGGTCCGTCTCCCATCACACCTCATCGGGCATGGCTATGGAGCTGGCGCCCGTGACCACGGACCGTCTGACACGCAGAGGTTCCTCATAGACCACTCCTCCCACCGCGCCGTCTGGTCCGTCCCTTGCCTGAGCTGTTGCTATTAATTATTATTATTATTACTCCCAGAGGGTGCGGGTGTGGGACAGGGAGAAAACACCCCGTGGGGATAGTCACGCCGCGATCCCTTCTCCTCCATCGGTCTCTCCTTTCTGGATTTTGGACACGCACACGCATGCACCTGGCATGTTGCTTGAGCTGCCAGGTCCAGGATTTGAACCATAGGGTTGGGCATGTGGAATCTGGCTGCTTTAACCACCAGGCTATGGAACGGGCCTGCAGGGTTTGTTTTTAAAGTTTCTTTTCTGCCAAAGGGTGCATGTGCTTACCAGAGAGAGAGAGACAGAGAGACAGAAAGCGAGAAATTGCCC